GGGGTGATTTAGTTTTTTCCTTAAAGTCTGTAATAATCACTGTCAGATCACCCACTGTAACTTCCAAATGCTGGGCACTACTTCGATCCACATTTTTCAACCTGGGCCTAAAATAATAATAATCAAATTATTAAAAAATATTTCAGAAGACCTCCCAATCTCACATTTTAAAGTTTTCTTTGAACCCACATGTACATAAGAACTTGCTGTTTTCTAAGTCAGATTTATCAGTCCATCTAGTACAGTGTTATTTAGTGTGACTGGCAGCAGCTTTTCAAGTTATCACACAGAAACTTCAGCTTCTATTTAAGACCTTGGAATTGAAAATGCCAAGGAATAAACCTGAGATTTTATAAATGCAAAGTATGTTTCTGCCACTACGTTTTTGCCCACCAAGTCAGCTGAAATACTGTGGACAATATTGTGAATATAAGAATACAGCACAGATAATACTGCAGATAGCATTCAAATGTTTAATATAAAGTCATTCAAAATTTATTTTGTATCACTGTTCATACCCACAGAAACACAAAAATCATAGCTAAGGAGAAGACTGAGATAAACAGAGTAGATGGGGATGGCAGCAGGGATAAATATCAGGGGAGAGCTTGAAGGAAGAGAATCATCAAGTGAGAGAGCACAGGAAAATTACTTAATGCATTTTTTATTTAACCTTTTCAAAAACTGTCAAAATGACTGCTCCATAAGTGATAGTAGCCACATATCATTTTCACAGGGGAAGTCTCCATTCAGCTGCCATACATCAAAGCGTAGCCACACAGATCAGCCCTAATGATACAGAACATCTTCACACTAGCAGTTGCTCCACCACTGCTGTGGAGATGCTTCATGTGATGGCTGTGACCTAAGTTGCTGTTTATATATGGAATGGCAATCACATAGTCTTCTTCCCATGGAAATCATTTGCAGAGGTACCCATGCCATTGTCACTTACAAAACTGACCTTACAGAGGGTCAGATGATGGATCAAATATGATTTCCTGTAGGAGTCTATCTCTGCAATTGTTTTTGTAGCAGAAACACTGCAAAATTAAGAACTTATTGTCCCGACACATAGCCTATCAATGAAAGCTGTCTAGGGATAGCAGAAAACACATTTACATTATTCTTGTAAAAATAGTTAAATTAAAAACTGAAAAATTAATATAGAAAATCCCTGCATTTATTATTTATTTATTCTGTGATTTATATACTTTCTAGACAAAGCTCTAGAAACAATTCACATGTAAAGTCCATATGATATAATATAATCAGATAAAAATTAAACACAAATTAATTTAAATTAGAACAATAACCTACTGCCATTTGCAGTAAGATAAATGGTGCACAATACTCTAAGAGGCCCATCAACATTCTGAAAAATGCTTTTAAAAGATTGCTAATCGACAAAGGGGAATTCACTATGAAGATAATTTCAAAGACAGTTCATAACATGTCCTGGATTCAGACATCCATAAATGGGAAAAACAATAAGGTCTCCCTGCTACACCTCTAAAATATTGTATGTGAGGAGATTGTCCTTAAACATTCTGGCTTCACATCATTTGGGACTTTAAAGGTTGTACCAGCATTGTGAACTGAACCCCAAAAGAAAACAGCAATTCAAGTACTTCCTTAAGAATAAGTGCTATATGGTAATTTTGGCTAGTCCAGAGAAAAGTCTAGCTACCACATTCTGTATCAGCAGGAGTTTCTGAACACCTTTCAAAGTTTGCCCAAACAGAGAGCAAAGTAGAAGTTACGACAGCATGAATCACAGTAGCAAAGTCCTTGTTTCCTAGGAAAGGTCACAGCTGGTGCATCAGGTGTAGCTGGGGAAAAAATGCTGCTCCCCACTGATACAATCTGCAAATCAAGTTGTAGTAGTGGATCAAGGCTCACTGCTAAGCTGTAAACCTAGTCCTTGTCTCTGACTCTGTCCAGAACAGCTGTGCACCTATTCCCAGATTCCTGTCCAGAACTGTGTTGTTCACTATCAATATCTGTATTTTATCTGGATTATCAGTTTAATGGTCTTTATCTAGCTCCAGACCAAGGATTCCACTGTCTTATTAATATCTGAAGGATGCAAAAGATATAATTGGGTGTCATCAGCATTCTAATGATGTTTTCCACCAAATTTCTATACGACCTCTTCTGCTGGTTTTGTGTGGATGTCAAACAGCATGGGGCGTAAAATGGAGCTTTGTAGTATCCCATAAAATAACATTTTGCCACCCTCTCCCCCACTCCGGCCAGGCAATCTTCCCAATTCCCAGTATTAACAGGTGGAATAGAAGAATGTGATATACAATGGTATTGAAGACACTTCAGAGGCCCAAGGAAATAAACCTCTCTTTCCATCAATAAGACCAACACAATTTCTGTTTCCAAACCAGATCTGAAATTGGAATGTTAGGATCCAGCTAACTAATTTCGTCCAAAATAATCTGTAGCTCAAAAATCACCAATTTCTCTATGCATCGAGCCTGTCCTATAATTTCAAAGCTCCATTAGCTCTAGAGAGGGCTCACTAACAAGTTGGGATGGGCACAAACTGGCTCACAACCAATGTTCCCTCTAAGCTGTGGAGTCTTGTGAGCAAAAATTCTACTTTGTGAGCTACTGGCATTAAAGTTGTGAGCGAGCGATTTGGCTGCTGCATAAATCAGTTTGCTTTGGAGCCATCCTTCCTGAGCTAAGACAAAAATGTGTGAGCCAGAGGCTAAAAATCTGTGAGCTGGCTCACACTAACTCAGCTTAGAGGGAACTATGCTCACAACCCAAAATCCGGCACAAACTTGGGCTGGTTCAGGGCTTTTCTCAATGTTTACCGGACTTTTGTTCAGTTCAGTTTGGCTGTTCAGGGCCATTTCAACCTAACAGCTGGGGGAAGCAAAACAGATCGATGAAATGGCTGCCAGCCACTTCAACCTAACAGCCGATGGGCGCACCTGCCCTGCTGTTAGGTTGAAATAGCTGCGAACCATTTCACTGGTCAGTTTTGCTTCCTCCTGCTTTGAAGAAAAACCAACCAGTAAAATGGCTGCTAGCCATTTAGACCTAACAACTGATGGGCTTGATTACTGCAATACTACACAGGCTTACCCCTGAGGCTGATCCAGAAATTACAGCTGGTACAAAATGCTGCAGTGTGCCTGCTGACATTGATGCCTGTGTGGGCTCACGTTCGACATGTGCTTTGCCAGCTGCACTGGTTACCAGTTGAGTACCGGATCCGCTTCAAGGGGTTGATAATAACCTTCAAAGCCTTATACAGGCTGCGACCAACATACCTAAGGGACCACCTCTCCCTGTATACGCCTCGAAGAGCTTTACGCTCTAATAATCAACATCTCCTAGTGATCCCTGGCCTAAAGGACGTCTGTCTAGCCTTGACTAGGGCTAGGGCCTTCTCTGCCCTGGCCCACACCTGGTGGAACATGCTCCCCATCGAGATCAGGGCCTTGCAAGATCTTATTCTGTTCCACAGAGCCTACAAGATGGAGCTGTTCTGCTAGGCTTTTGGTTGAGGCAGCGGGCATCCACATATGGCCTCCCTGAGGTTGCTGTCTCCCACCTGCCGACCATCTATCCATCGGCAACTGGCCATATCCATCTGTATTAATGGGTCGGAACTTTCACCAGTAGCTATAAAACAGCTGACAGGGGCCATTATAGTCAATGGCAAATCTCCTAGGGTATATTCAGTGGGTTGGGTGGAGGGAGACGGGGTTTGAGGTAGAGGCACCACATTTGCAGTGTAGCTGATAGAGCCTGTCCCCAAAAGAACCCCCAAGTTTCAAATAGACTGGACCAGATGTCCAATTCCATGGGCACCCAAAGAGGATCCTCCCATCCTCCATTGTTTCCAATGGGAAAAAAGCAAGGCCAAGAATACAAGCCCAGCAGATTCTCCCAGAGAGTCTCTGCGGTAGAAAGTGAGATGTGGGGAGGGGGCATCATTGCAAGGCCAGCAGCAGAACCAGATATTACCATAAATTTCACTTTCCCTATGAACAATTCAAGAACATGAACTGCAAATACCATAACCTAAGATCTTGTTCTATCTGTAGCTTAGCTTCAAAAATCCTTTTAGAAATCGGGGAATATTACGTGAGGTGCGAGTACTGATTTTCAGTTTTTCATAAGTTGCCTCCATCAATGAGGGACTGAAAAAGGCCCATATACATATGGACAAATTCACTGTGTACCCAGGGATTTTTGAGCACATGCACTTTAGATCCTCACATGTATTGGGGGAGGCTCCACACATTGTGAGATCTCATGCTGCCAGTAACTGTGAAAGCACGGGGTTGATTTTCTCTCATCAAATTCATTGCTCCCTAATCCCACACGACAGCTGAAAAATCTATCCTATTTCATACCCACATTTGAATTCTGAGTCAAATTGGTCTCCATGTTCTGATAATCTTCACCATCATAAAATAACTTTGTTAACTATGTTGTCGAAGGCTTTCACGGCTGTTAACTTTGTTAACTGTTTTGAAAATGTACAGAAGGATAAAGATACCAACATTTTAATACCGTTTTCAAATAACACAAAACTTTTCAGAAGTTTACCTGGTTTTCTTATGACTGTTCTTTTTGCTAGCAGTTTCCTTTTCACTTTTTTCCTTTTCTACTTTATCTTTTTTCTCTTTCTTTGATTGCGTGGGGGGCACAAACTGCTGGGTCACCTGTTGAGCAACCAGCTGAGAGACAGGTCGAGGTTTCCTGTGTGTATGAACGTAAGAGAGTTTAAGCTTGTTAGAATCAGTAAAATTTCTGTATGAGAACTGATCAGTTAGTACCATACCCACTAAACTTCTGACCCTAATTGTGTCTACATACATATCCACCTCATTCTTTACAGGAACCTAAAGTGTATAGCTTTGAAATAGTGCTCTACATTATTCAACTTAAAGTAAATATAATTGCAGAAGTTCCCAGAAAAAGCCTAAAAAGAAAATATTATCTTAGCACTGACCTGAGATTTATGATAGTCCAAAAGTTGAATTAACTCTATAAAAGGAACCATTATATGGCAAACCAATGGAAGTTTTGTTGATTAAATCTCTCTAATAACACGAGAACACATTAGCAATAAGAGGTCTTGGAAACATAAGCTACTTATGGAAATATTTGTTAAATTAGAGCAATTATTAGGGGAAGAAATCACAGCTGTCAAAATATAGAAATAAGCCCATCTATTCCTGCAAATTGTGTTACATACTTGGTTGCATAAATCAAAGCAGGTAAGATATTCTGATGTGCAGGTTTACATTATTTGGCCTGCAATTTGATGGTTATTCATACAAGCGGTCCTCAAGGCAGTTGTGAAGAATAGCCCAATTCCTAAATATGTGCACTGGCACCATTGCTTGGAACACCAGCGTAACAAACATTGTTGCATCCCCAGCATAATGCTACTTGTCTCAGTAAAACACTGGTGTAAAATGTAGGTACATCCTATCTAACATTCAGCAAGTTAAGGAGTTAAGCTAAAAAGCTTTCCTATATATACATGGTAAAAGACAAGAATATTTTCAGGCAATGTAAATGGTTTCAAAGTATACTCATATGTCAAATTATGTACATGTATAAGTGTCGTCAAGCTGCAACTGACATATGGTGACTCCTTCAAGAGGCTTTAAAGGTAAGTGAGAAGCAGAGGTGGTTTGTCATTGCATTACTCTCTAGTCTTCCCTGGTGGTCTCCCAACCAAGTACTGACACTGCTTAGCTTCCACAATCTGTACCATGCTGCCTTCCCTTCCATATGATAAATTACAAGTGGTACAATATACAATTTAACAATGTAACAAAGAAATACTCCTTTTTAAAATACAATATATATTCTAAATAGGAACATTAAAATATTACGATTACATTTTTTAAAAAAAATCTAAAAAGGTAACTGCATTAACCACTGTAGTGAAACAGTGTAATTTAGTTTGTCCACAATTAATCTAATATATATAAAAGCCTAATATATTGGTACATTCCAGCTCTACCACTGGCTGTGCTGTGCACTCCATTAGCCATTGGCCCATCCATTGCCACTCAGGAGTACTTGCATGCCACCGGCTGGGTGCTGGGTCCACTCCTCTCACCTGCCCACTGCCAGCCTGGCCACTATTCCCTGACAGAATAAACTGCCAAAACGCCTGTCTCTCCTGACAAAGACGCTTCACCTCCTCCTCCTGCTAGGCTCACTTTCGCTTCAGTGGCTATTGCTAAGCAACCAAGCTCGGTTCTGTCAGTAAAAGGTGGTGGGGGGAGGCCCCTTCCAGGCCTATTTTGACCTTTGAGAGAAAATTCACTGGGGCCTGTCCTGACTAGGGTTTCCAGCTCCAGGTTGAGAAATTCCTGGAGAGTTTGTGGTGAACTCTACAGAAGGCAGGGTTTGGGGAGGGGAGAGGCCTCAGCTGAACAGAATGCCACAGAATCCACCCTTCAAAGCAGTTATTTTATCCAGGGGGAGAGAGATCTGTTGTCTGGAGTTCAGTTGTGATAGCAGGCAAATTTCAGGCTCCACCTGGAGGTTGGCTACCCAAAGCCTGGCAATGTCCTCTGGGTGACTTAATGATACCTGACTGGCATGACAACTAGGCCTGGCTGCTTGCTCCTGTTCACCTCCCCTTTATTTTCTTTTTAATATTTAAATATTTAGAAGAGGAAGAAGAGGAGGAGGAGGAGGAGGAGATTGGATTTATACCCTGCCCTTCACTACCCAAAAGAGTCTCAGAGCAGTTTACAATCCCTTCCCCTCCCCACAACGGACACCCTGTGAGGTAGGTGGGGCTGAGAGCTTTCTTCAGAACTACCCTTGAGAGATCAACTCTGAAAGAATTTATGACTTACCCAAGGTTACACCAGCAACTGCATGTGGGGGAGTGGAGGATCAAACCCACTTATCCCAGATTAGAGTCCACGCTCTTAACCACTACTCCAAACTGGCTCTCAACTAGGACAGCCAGTGTGACATAGCAGTTAGCACTTTAGTACAGGGTCTGTCAGACCTAGGTTCTTGCTGTAGAAGCTGAGTGGGTGATTTCAGACCAGTCACAGACTTTCAGCCTAACCTACCTCACAGGGTTGTTGTGCAGATTGAAAGGGGAAGAGGAGAATGATGTGAGCTGCTTTGGTCCCCAGTGCAAAGAAAGACTGTTCTTTTCCTAGGTAGAGGCTACAGGGAGGGGGGAGGAGAGGGAAAGCTGAAGTCAGAGGGGCAGATAAAAGTAGGCTGATGGTTGGCTGGGAAGGAGATAGGGTTGCCAACTCCAAGTTGGGAAATTCCTGGAAATTAGTGGGGTGAAGCCTGGAGAGAGTGGGGGTTGAGGAGGGGTGGGACCTCAGAAACGTACAATGCCATAGACTTCACCCTCCAAACCTGTCATTTCCTCCTGGGGAACCAATGTTGCCAATCTCCAGGTGAGGGCTGGAGATCACTCAGAATTACAACTGCTCTTCAGATGGCAGTTCCCTTGGAGAAAACGGTGGACTCTGTGTCATTATACCCTGCTGAGGTGACCACAGCAAATTGACACTGAGTGCCCAAGGTGGGGCACCCACTCAGAGCCTCTATCTAGAGCTTGTTGTATTTATTTCCACAACAGGACTCATTCCCACTATAATTAGACTATTAAAAAGTTCAATGTTTCCAGCAGGCTGGGCTGGGCAGCGAGGGTGACTGCTCTCTCCCTCCCTGCAAACCGATGGGGCGCCCAGGATGCCCCGTTGATTTTTAAGGGGGAGGGGTGATTTTAATCCCAAATGTTCAGCTCCCCCCCCACACACACACACACATGCAGACACCTAACCAACCACGGCTGCTTGAAACTGGATTCCGGAGGTGAAAGAGGCGGCCATAGAAAAAAAAACCTTTCAGGAGTTGTCCGGAGTCTCTCTCTCTCACACACACACCATTTATGCCTAAAAACCCCAGGCAAACTTGGAAGGGGGTGGGGATTCCCTGGAAGGAGACCCTATGCCCCCCAACCCCACCAAGAGGCAGGCACTGGGCCCCGGGAGGGGGACCCGAGGTCCGCCCCGATTAGTTTTTTACTGCTTCCTCCCTTGCTCACTGTCACTGGGCTGGGGATTGGGAGACAGCTCGTTTTTGGGGGGAAGGGGGACTGGATGAGTGCAGGAAAGATGGGGGGGCAGGAGGAGGAGAGGAAGAGAGAGGGAGGCAGAAGAGTTCCTTGAGGAGGTCTTTGGTTTCTTCCCCCCCCCCCGCCGAGACCTCCTTCCCACAGTCTGGGAGTGAAGAGTGAGAGGAAGCCGAGAGGAGGGAGACCCTTTCCCATCTCGCAAGCTCTGGGGAGAGATTGCCTGGGCTTATGAGCACATCTGAGTTCTCTTCTGGCGGGCGGGCCCAGCTGCACTCTCGCGAGCCGGGGGAGCCAGGAAGTGAAGCACCTGGTGGGGCAGGACATCGTGCGGCACAGTCAACGAGAGCAGGGCTTTTGGTGTGTGTGTATTTAAACACCGGCCCCTCTCCCCCCCACCAGTCCTTTGGTGACAAATGGTGCATGGAGTTGGCGATGGGCAGGCGCAGCACTGGTGTGGGGCAGCAAGGGCGCTGTGCGGCGCAACGAGAGCAGGACTTTTGGCGGGGATGGGGGGGGAACAGGCGGCAGGGCAGTTCGGCGCCCTCCTCCAGGGACCCACCCTAGATGAAAGTCTAGTTTGCCTAGCAGGTGAGCCAGCCCTGCTGGGGAAGCCAACCAAATCCTGCTGTGCACCTTGGCCCAGCCCCTCCTTTGCTGGCACAGGGTGTTGGGCCCTCAAGTGAAGCTTGAATAATCATTTCAGTTTGTTTGTTTTTTACTTTAATTGCACTTCTGCAATGCAGCTGCTAGAGTTACAGGGAAGTCATAGCAGTTCACACAAACTGACATTATTCTTAGCTGGTACTGTTTGCTACCCCTTTTTAGCAGCAGTTTTTAAAGAAAGCTCTCGACTTCAAACTTCTTTAACCAGGAGGCTAAGAAGAATATTGTCCTATCATGAATTGTTCCTAAGCTCATCAACCAACCTCTTTCTCCCCCACCATCTAATTCTGTGTGCCCCCACTTTGTAGCACTGGAAGCTGTAGCTTATTATTGGCAGTCCCACAGTGGGTACACCTTTATCAGCCCTGCTAGTTAGTCTGAGGCAAATGCAAAGACCACTATGCGGCGATGCCTGGGCAAGGGATTCCGGTGCTCATGGGGAGGGGAAAGTATAGCAGTGGGACCAGGCAAGAAACTAAGGGAAGGGAGTGGAGAAATAGAACCACTTGGCACCCTTCCAGCCTGTGTACCATCCAGAAGGTAGTTGGCAGAGGGGCTAGGATGAACACCCCCTCTCTGGCATTGACGCTGTGCAACGCCAGGTCTATAAATAATAAGACCATAGTCTTCCAGGACTTTCTGCTGGAGCAAAATGTAGACCTGGCGTGTGTGACTGAAACTTGGGTGCAGGACCGGGAGATGGTAGCTCTGTCCCATCTAGCCCTTCCTGGGTTCTCGGTCCTTCACCCATCGCGGACTAAGGGGTGGGGGTGGGGAGTGGCTCTATTCATTTGGGAGGTTTACTCCTTCAGGATGCTCCTGCCACCAAAGATCACAAGCATTGAGTGTGTTGGCCTACTGTGGGAGGTTGGAGAGAGTTTGGCGATTTGGCTGGTGTACCGACCGCCCAACGGACTGGCCAATAGCCTGCCATCCCTGATGGAGAACATATAAG